TTGAAGTTTCCTAATACAGCAGTTTGTTCCATAAGGGCACCTGCCTCACTCAGCCTCCACAGACCCAGGCTCTCTTCATCTCTCCTCAAAGATGAACAAATCAAAATGCAACATTCAGACAAAATAGTCACATTCCAAAGAAAGAAAGGGACTGGGTGTGGTGGTGCATGCTGGTAAACCCGCCATTTGGAAGGCTGAGGCAGGAGGATTGCCCTTCTTCACTGGTACTCAACTGACTAACATACATATGGACACGTTTCAAAGAACTCTTGTGAAGAGCAGGCCAATAGAAAAGCGGGAACTCACAGTGGGGAGCTGTCTGGATGATGAAGGAGGGATCCTCAAGGCCAGCCTGGGCTACATAGAGAGATCCCTGTCTCAAAAAAGAAGGGAGAGAAGGGGGGAGGAAGAGGAGGAGGAAGAAAAGGAGGAAGAGGAGGAGGAAAAAAAGGAGGAGGAGGAGGAAGAGAAGAAGGAAGAGGAGGAGGAAGAAAAGGAGGAAGAGGAGGAGGAAGAAGAGGAGAGAAGTATCAAAACCTCAGTCCTGAACAGAATGAGGCACAGTGTGATTTTCCACTCCTGGAGAGGTTGAGAACACGAAACTGGTCCGAGCCATTTATCCTCCTGAGCCCTGGCAGGAGCCGATATGAAATTGCTCTGCAGAGATAGTTTTACAGACACAAATGTGCCCTGCCCTGCAAGGGCAGGGCAAACACTTAATACAGACTCCCAGCCAGAAATACAGCAAAGACGTCCACATCCTACACCACCGTGAAGGAAGACAGAAGTAACGAAAGGGAAAACAGGCACTAGTACTGACACGAACAGAGCATCCGGGCGCGGCTTTCCAACATCCATGTATTTGTGTGTGTGTTCACAAGCACGACATGCTTGCTGGGGGTGGGGTACAGAGGGCAACTTGTGGGGAGTTGGTTCTCTTCCTTCCTTCCGCTCAGGATGTCAAACTTGGGAGCAAGTCCCTTTACAGGCTGAGTCATCACACCAGCCTCCAAGCCCGGCTTGAAAGGGTACCTAAAATGATGTGGAACTCAAGGGAGGAACTGGAGTCAGGAAGAGAGACCAGGAGGCTTTGAAACGAGAAAAACAAACCGAAAAGCAAACACAAAAACTCAAAACCCAGAACCCAACAACGACAACCTCATGTTGCTGTGATTGTGAGATTTGTCAGCTTGACATGACCTAGAATCACCCGGAAAGAATCTCAAAGCCGGATTGTCCAATCAGGTTGTCTTGATTCCGGAAGTGGAAGGACACAACCTAAATGTGAGCAGAGCCATTCACTGGTTTGGGGCCTAGAATAAAGAAAGGAGAAGGCAAGTGGGGCTGAGGCCTGCACACACGCACTCGCTCTGCTTTTGACTGGGGAGGTGCAGCTGCATCCCTTACCCGGACTCCCCCACAGTGACCGACTGGACCCAAGATGGTGAGCCTTGAGTTGCTTTTGTCTGCCTTTTATCAGGGCAAAGGGAGAGGAGACCGGGGCAGTCCCAGAGGGGAAATGTCTTCATTGAGCTGGGAATGTGGCTCATACTGGTAGTCCCAGTGCTTGGGAAGTGGAGACAGGAGGATTAGAAGTTCAAGGTTATCCTTGGCCACATAGTGAGTTTGAGTCAATGAAACCCCATTTTTTAAAAAAAATTGGGGGGCTGGAGAGATGGCTCAGTGGTTAAGAGCACTGGCTGTTCTTCCAGAGGTCCTGAGTTCAATTCCCAGCAACCACATGGTGGCTCACAAACATCTATAGTGAGATGTGGTGCCCTCTTCTGGCCTGCAGGCAGAACACTGTATACATAATAAATAAATAAATCTTAAAAAAAAAAAGAAAGAAAGAAAGAAACCAGAGGATGGTTTAAAAAATTTTTTTTGTTTATCAAAATGATAAATTAAGTTCATGAGACATCAGAGGATTATAGAAATAGGAGAAATCATCTAGAATGCAACATAGAGACAAAAAGATGAGTGATATGGGGCTGGAGAGAGGTGGCTTAGTGGTTAAGAGCACTGGCTGCTCTTACAGAGGACCTGGGTTCAGTTCCCAGCACCCACATAGTGGTCCCAACTGTCTGTAACTCCAGTTCTAGGGGATCTAGTGCCTTCTTCTGGCCTCTGTGGGAACCAGGCATGGATGTGGGGCACAGACATATATGCAGCCAAAACACCTGTACACATAAAATATTTTCAATTGGAATATGCAAATACATAAGTATGATGAAGAAATCTGGAAGACTGGTGAAGTGGTTTGAACATACACAGATTTAGAAGAGAATAAAGACCATGAGGGTGGGTGAGAGGGCTCAGTACATAAAGGTGCTTGCTGCCAGGTCTGATGGATAACCTAAGACTGGGGCCCACATGAGGAAGGAGAGAACTGACTCTGGCAAGTTGTCCTCTGACTGCCACATGTGTGCTATGGCATGTGTATGTGCACCCACACAACCTTAATTAGTTAATTAAAAACAATAAAGGCAATGAAAGAGGGGCATATTCAACCTGTGAATTGACCAGAGTTTTCTATAATTGAAGAAATGCGTCATCAGAGTGAAGTTATTATATTATCCAAACATGAGAAATAAAAAAAAATGTACATCTGGACACTGGAGAAATCTCTGAAGCCACCAAGATCTTAAAATCAACCAAAGAGTTAAGGGCCCCTAAAAAGAAATGACAGATGGATTCACAGAATTCCAAGCATCACCAATGGCTGCCAGAAGGCCATGCTTTGAAGTACTGAGGGAGTGTATCTGTTAGCCCAGAGTTTTATACCTAGCTAAACTATCACCCAGAATCAAGTGTTGTGATAGGGACACTTTAGATAGAGACTGAAAGTTTCCTCCTCGTTCATCCTCACTGGAAGGACGTAAGAGATTTCTTGAGTTGTAGTCAAAATCAAATCTGGAAGTCCATAAATAACTATAATATAATATTATTACATATAATTATTTATAATTATAAATATTAATAATGATAATGATGATGATGAATCAGAGCAGTTAAACAAAATAATTAAAATTCAAGCCAACAATAACATACAAGATGGGAGGAAGAAACTATTAAAAACCAATAGGAAAGTATCAGATATAATTCTAAATATGCCAGTTAAGTCCAAATGTATCTGTAGTTTCAGTCATTGTAAATGTCCTAAGCTTATCTATTAATTGTTAGTCTAAGTAGAAAAAGGGCTATGACCTAGTTTTTTTGTTTGTTTTGGCTTTTGTTTATTTTTTGAGACAGAGTTTCTCTGTGTAGCCCTGGCTGTCCTGGAACTTGCTTTGTAAACCAGGCTGGCCTTGAACTCAGAGATCCACCTGCCTCTGCCCCTCGAGTGCTGGGATTAAAGGTGTGTGCCGCCGCCGCCGCCGCCGCCGCCGCCGCCGCCGCCGCCGCCGCCACCACCACCCGGCTCCTAGTTTGGTTTCTGTTGTTGTGATAAATGCCATGACCAAAAGCAACCTGGGGAGAAAAGGGTTTATTTGGCTTACAGGTTACAGTCCATCATTAAAGAAGGGAGTCGGGGCAGGAGCTCAGGGCAGGAACCCAGGGGTAGAAACTGAAGCAGAGACCATGAGGGAGTTCTGCTCACTGGCTTGCTTCTATCGACTTTTCTTATACAGCCCAGGCCCACTGGCCTAGGGATGGTACCACCCTCTTAGATGAGTCAATAATTGAGAAAATGTTCCACAGACAAGCTCATAGTCCAGTCTGATGGTGACACTTCCTCCTTGAGAGTCCCTCTCCTCAGATGTGTCAAGTTGACAGCAACACAGAAAGGCTGTGTTGGAATGATATGCCCCAGGCAAGATGATACAGGATCTGAAGACCAGACAATTGAGGTAAAAGTGGGGCTGGTGAGGTGGTTCAGTGACCCCCCTAAGGCCATGAGCCAAAGTCAACCTTCTTTCCTGAGAGTGACCGACCATGTTGGTATTTGTTCTGATAAAGCACACGGCCTACAGAGGGAGTCTCAGTAAACCCCAGAGCATTCTCCTGGTGAAGACTCCCTCCTCCAGTCTGAATAATAAAGTGAGGAATCCACACACTTGGAAGCCTACACAAGTACTTCTAAGTAGTTCGGAAGATGAATCATAATTTTAAAAACATCAAATATTTTGAAGTAAATGACAGTGAGCAAAAGTGCATATCAAACAGGATAAAACTAACACAGCAATCTCAAAATTCAAAACACGCTGGTCAGACATGGTGGCGCAGGACTTCAGTCCCAGAATTCAGGAAGCACGCACTCTCTATGACACTAAGGACAGCCTGGTCTACATAGAGAGTTCTAGGCCAGCCAAGGTTAGAAAGTGAGACCCTGTCTCAAAAATAAAATAAATTAAAACAAAAACAAAACCCCATTCACTGTACTGACTGGTTTTGTGTGTCAGCTTGACACAAGCTAGAGTCATCAGAGAGGAAGGAAGCTCAGTTGAGGAAATGCCTCCGTGAGATCCAGCTGTAAGACACTTTCTTAATGGGGAGGGCCCAGAAAAATTTAAAAAGTACTATAAACATCTTAATATAAAACACTTTTAAGCAGTTGAAATGGCCAAATGTATACATAATAGAAATGATCAATGGGCAAAGTGTTTACCTAAATCCAGTCCTTAAAACCCAAGTTTAACAACAACAAATGCCAGTCTGTTGGTGTGTGCTTGCAGCTCTGGGGAGATGGAGATGGGAGGTTCCTTTGGGAGTGTCTGGTCAGCCAGCCTGCCTGGTGAGTTCCAGGCCGGTGAGAGACCCTGCCTCACTAAGATGGGCAGTGCCTAGAGAATGCCCGTCAAGTTGTCCTCTGGTTCCCACATGCACAGGCATACACGTTCACATGTGCTTATGCACACACACATGGACACACACAAAGAAGTTGACAAAGGCATTTCCACAAGTCATAGACCATCAAAGCTGTTAACACACAAGTCAGTCAACCCTCAAAACATGGAAAGCTCCAGGTCTGGCAGTAACAGAGCCAAAGCCAATCTTACCCAACTTTCTAGAGCTCAGTGTCTCACCAGGGACAAAGTGCTCCCTCAAAGGTTCCTGGGAAGCAGGAGGGCATAACTTGGATGCCAAAGGCAGCCAAGAACAGTATGTACCCACGAGGAAAATATGAACACGTAGGAACAGTTCCTGAATCAAAAGGAACAAGCCAAGCACACCAAGTCTCTATGGAAACACTCCATCAGAAATCCAAAGATAACCCAGGAATATAAAAACAGTTGACACCAAAATACCTGTGACAGTCGTTCCCCACAGGAAAGCGTCAAGTCCAGTGTTCAAGTCGAGTGTCGCGGCTCCAGCACCGGGAGGCTGAGGGGGGGCTGCAAGTTCTAGGACAAATTCTTAGGTTTCGAAATTCTATCCCCTCCCCAAGTAATAGTTTATCCCCACTGTCGACTGGAGGAGTTCTAGAATCTCTTGGGAGATGGGCCCCGGGGCATGCCGGTAGGGAACTGTCTTGATTAGGTTAATGGAGGAAATAATACCACCCACTGTGGGCAGTGCCATCCTCTGGGCTTGGATCCTGGACTATATCAAAAGGAGAAAGTGAGCTGAGCACAAACACTGCTCTCTTCCTGGCTGCCACCTCAAGCTCCTGCTGCCTCGATTTCCCTGCTGTGAGGCCTGTACCTCAGACTGAGAGCCCAAATATACACTTCCTTCCTTAAGCTGACATGGTCAGTGGTCTTTGTTTCCTGATTTTTCTTTTTTTTTAGAATCAGGAAAAGTAACTAAGATACTGGCAAGGTGATGGTATGCAGTAGTTGACCATGGTTATTAGGATGTATGTTACAGGTGAATTAAAGGCCTTGAGGTTGGGAGGTGCACAGTTGGTAGATTCCTTGCCTAGCATGTTTGAAGTCCTAGAATTGACACCCAGCATTCTATGAAGCAGGCATGGTGGACCATGCCTATAATATCAGCACTTGGGAGATAGAAGCAGAAGGATCAGAAGTCCAAAGTCAGCCTCAGCTACATAGTCAAGTTCAAGGTCATCCTGGGCTGTATGAGATCCTGCCTTAGGCATAAATAAAAAGGGGCTGGAGAGATAGCTCAGAGGTTAAAAGCATTCACTGCTCTTGTAGGGGACCTGAGTTCATTTCCCAGCACTCACAAATTGCTCATAAATGCCTATAACTCCAGTTCCAGGGGAGTCCAATGCCCTCTTCTTACCACTGAGAGCTCCTGAATTCATGTGATGCACAGACACAGACACACCCATAAAATAAAATTTAAATGCATAAGAAAAGGCAAGATTTTTTAAAAAAACATTTAAAAACTTTTCAGAAGATAAATGAGATTCATTCACATTAACATAGAGAATTAAGATTCAGGAACCTCAAATTATACAGAAATGAGATGAATCTAGTTTAACCATGGAAAAATAAAAACTCTTAAACCAAAGAGACAGCATAACAAAGAGGCAGACAGACTGCACTCAGGGAGATCTTTTAAAACCACACTGGTCCAGTGTAGTGATATTGTGTTTCCCAGTATATTGTGCACCCTAATAAATCTATCTGGGGTCAGAGAAATTAGTGGAAGGTAGATAGATGATGGGTAGGTAGATGGATGGAAGGATGGATGATGGATCGATGATGAGTGGATGGGTACATGAGTTGGTAGATGGATGGACAGATGGATGATGAGTGGGTGGATGGATGGATGGATGATGAGTGGATGGATGAGTGGATAGATGGAAACAGTGGGTAAAAAGAAAGGCACTAGTTTTATTTTTTGCCTTTCCTGGAGATAGGAAAAGACTAAATATTTGTTACTGCTATAAAACAATGCATTAATATAAAATTTGAAGTCAAGACCCACCTGACCCCAAGCCTGGTACTCAGCCTTGGGCCCAAGAGGCAACTGCCATTGAAAAGACAGTTTTTAACCCACAGTTTACAGAAAGGGAGCGTTCACACCACGGGGTGGGAGTGGGAACACACCAGAGAAGCAGTGGCGTCACTAGGCAGGGGTAGAAGAGAGAATTACAGACAAGTGCCTTTACTGAGGTTTCTGGAGGCATGATGGATAAAGCCAGGGGGACGGAGGCATGTACTAGTGATCTAAACCACTTCTGGGGGGGGGGGGGGCATCACGGTGACTTGGGCATCCCAGTTGTCCTGGTCCTAGGCCCGGGGTGGCCAGGTCAGAGTAGATAGTGATCTGAGCTGTGAGTTCAGGGGAGGATGTGGGTGGGGTACAGGCTCTGCGGCAGTTGTTCATGGTTAGGGATCATGCCCCAGGAGAAGGGCTCCTTCAAGTTGAGGGAGCTCGAGCTGTGTGTGTGTGTGTGTGTGTGTGTGTGTGTGTGTGTGTGTGTGTGATGAAAATGAGGGAGACAGAAGGTCACTGTAAAGTGAGCTAGGCAATCACGTGGTTCTCCAAAACAAGGCGAGTGTGGATCTTGTATTTACAGCCATAGGGCAGGTGTTAAAGCATCCAGTTTGCAGACCCCAGACATGTGCTTGATCCAGTTACACTGCGAGTGTCCTTCCCCTCCCCTCCCCTCCCCTCCCCTCCCCTCCCCTCCCCTCCCTTCCCCTCCCCTCCCCTCCCCTCCCCTCCCCTCCCCTCCCCTCCCCTTCTCTCCTGTCCCCTTCTTGTTTTAATTACCCTTTCTTGGTAAACAGCTGCTTCTTCTGGAACCTTGGGAGACAGAGATGAAATTAAAGTGCCAAAAGCAAGAGTTTATTTTGTGTGTGTGTACCCTACTTTTAGTACCCAAAGCCCACCGGAGCCTCTGTGAGCCCTGGGTTCTTACCCATCATCTGTTTGAGGCTGGAAGAGGGGACTCATCATGCACACACTTGGCAAGCATTCTCCCTCTGAGCTGGAGCCTTGCTCCACGGAGCTGTCTTGAAGCCATGGCTTTAGGCTATTCAAACACCAGCCAGCTGTTCCCTTCTCCACCAGGAGAGATGCTAGACACTCGCTAGCTGCCCACAGCCCACAGCACTGAAGCCGCAGATAGATCTGGCCTCTCCAGCAGCTGCTGCGTGAGGAGCTGCCTCGAGCCAGCAGGTGCCTTCTCCAAACTTTGAGTTCCACCCCCACACCTAGGTTTCAATCTCCCCAGGACTGGGACCCAGCCTCTGTTGCTGGGGAAACACTTGGCCGTGTTGAGGAGCCCTGGTACTCAGCAGGTACCTTTAGAGATCCCAGCTGTAACATAACAGAGTCCCTGTGCTCCGCGGCCTCACTGCTAGACTTTGAATGTGAAATGTCCCCAAAGGCTTGTGTGTTGTTCAGTCTCTGGCAGACAGTGCTGCTTTGGAAGATGGTTGACATTTTAGGAGGTGGGGCTGGGGACATTGAAGGTTACACCTGGTCCCCAGTTGCTTGTGACATCTCTGGTTCTTGTCTGCCTTGAGGTGTGCAGCCTCTGTCACATGCTCCCAGGTTATGTGGTTTCCCAGGGGAGATATAAACAAGAGCCTATTCAACATTCACAGACCAAAGCAATCATTCCTGCAGGATTGATAATACCCAGGCTTGGACCGGTCTGTTAGATGACTGTCACTGGGACCAAGAAATCAGCCTGGTTGTCTTCGGGCCAGAGGACCGCTGAGTGACCAGACTGAGGGGAGGCTCTGGCCATGGAAGCTGAGCCATCCAGAAGCTAGGGAGCTTGATGGTGCTTTGGCCCCTTGGTGGGGGAAGCAGGCGTTTCTTTGAACCCCAAGACACAGGCTACTCCTTTGAGCTAGAATTAAACTAGCAGCCTAAGGATGGTCCACAGGTGGGAGGAGCGTGGACGGGGGGGGGGGGGGGGGGGGGGGGGGGGGGCGGGGGGGGGGTTCAAGCCGACCCTGCTCATTGGGAGGCATTACAGAGCATGATTGATTCATGTCCAGGCTCACATAACACTGCTCTCTTACAAGGTTGCATAGCGACCATTCTTATCCATTGTCACACACTGTCTCCAATTCCACCCCCATCTCCTCCCATGCTCCCTCGTGGGGACAACTCTTACCTCCCTGGCCTGTATGTGTCTGTTCTAGCCCGCAGTCCCTCGGGTCTGGTGAAGCACCAAGTGCCCTCTAGTGGACCGGGGCTCAGAGGCCCCAGGCTAGCTGCTCAAGTGCTGGCTAACCGTGAACTTCTCATGGCTGACTGGAGGCTTTCAGAGTTCAGATGCCAGCTCCTGGGTGCAGATGAATGGAGGGTTCCTACTAGGAAGCCATGTGCCCAGAAACCACCTTCTGTTCCCCATAGGAGCCGCTGTCTGGGCACTAGCTGGTTAAGGTAGTCCTAGGCCAGGCCCTGCCTGGGGCACCACACAGCCTGATGTCAGAGCTCATTCTCCTCTGGGATGAACATTCTGGAAAATGTAGACAGAGAAAAAAAGAATTCAACCAAACCCGAGCCCCAGCTAAGCAAATTCTGATAATGCAGTAAAAGGATTTTAAAAGTTAAAAAATATGAGCTGAGGGTGTAGCTGAGCTGACAGGGTGCTGCCGAGCATGCACAAGGCCCTGGGTTCGATTCCCGTGCCATAAACCAGGTGGGATGGTGCACACCTAGAATGGTGCTCCGAGAGTGGAGGCAGGAGGGTCAGAAGCTCAAGGTCATTCTTAGCTCATTGGGAATTTGAAGCTAGCCTGGGCTATTTGAGAACCACACACACACACACACACACACACACACACAATCTAAATATGTAGACAATGAGCAAACACATGGATGTTTAGATTAAATAATATACATTATATACTTATTTTAATGCCAGGCATTTACAACTACCAGTGTCACTTATTTTTAAAGTATGTAAATGTGAATCATTTAAATCACAGGAGTCTAAAGTACGGGAAAGGCACAGAGCAATCAATGCTAATTAGGTTCTTATCTTGGTTAATGAAAATAAATATTGAATTTATGGGAGAAGTCTGGAAGTGGGCCCTGCATGCAGACAAGGCTGAGCCTGTCTTCATGCCACAGACGCCTCTGTGACCTGCCCTGTAGGCGGCTTCCAAGCAGACTCCTGTTTCAGTATCCACAGCCTCACCTCCAGTGCCCTCTGGGACTGGTTCCCTGTGTCTGGGCCTAGTGATGTCCAGAGACCAGCCACCTGACCTGAGTCTGAGGCTCACCATATTCTACCTCCCCACAGGCCCTGAGCTCTGGGCTGTGGGCCTGGTCTGCCCTGGATGAACTCAGTCTTCAGGGCAATGTCCTGCACTAGAGGAGGAAGTTCCTCTCCAGCCACATGCCAGAGATACTGGGAGATAGGGCA